TTTAGGGAAAGGACAATGTTTTCTTCAAGTAATTAGGGAACCAACTATGGACAGTGTTTTTGTCTAATAGTTAGGGAACCAACTAAGAACAGTGTTTTTACTCAAGTAGTTTAGGGAACCAACCAAGGACAGTGTTTTTGTTAATAGTTAGGGAACCAACCAAGGACAGTGTTTTTGTCTAATAGTTAGGGAACCAACTAAGAACAGTGTTTTTCCTCAAGTAGTTTAGGGAACCAACCAAGGACAGTGTTTTTTGTCAAATAGTTAGGGAACCAATTAAGAACAGTGTTTTTCCTCAAGTAGTTAGGGAACCAACTAAGGACAGTGTTTTTGTCTAATAGTTAGGGAACCAACTAAGAACAGTGTTTTTGTCAAATAGTTAGGGAACCAACTAAGAACAGTGTTTTTGTCTAATAGTTAGGGAACCAACTAAGAACAGTGTTTTTGTCTAATAGTTAGGGAACCAACTAAGAACAGTGTTTTTGTCTAATAGTTAATGAACCAACTAAGAACAGTGTTTTTGTCTAATAGTTAGGGAACCAACTAAGAACAGTGTTTTTGTCTAATAGTTAGGGAACCAACTAAGAACAGTGTTTTTGTCAAATAGTTAGGGAACCAATTAAGGATGATGTTTCCCCTAAAGTGGTTATGGAAATGACTGGGGAAAGTGTTTCTCCTCAAGTAGTTAGGGAACCAACTAAGGACAGTGTTTTTGTCTAATAGTTGGGGAACCAACTAAGAGTGTTTTCTTCAAATAGTTAGGGAACCAGTTAAGAACATATTTATTAATATGAAACAATAATGAGGATATCATCAGAAAGGTAAAGTGCAGGAAAACCTCTATAACCATGTATGAGGTTTTATTATGTTTTAAGTGTAATAATATCTTACTTCCTACCCTGTATGAAGATGTGAAGGTGACAGTTTCTTTTATCAACTAGTGATACTTCTGTTTTGTTTTTAATTAACCAATTATGAGGATGTCATTGAAATGGTCAGAATGTGGGGAAAATCATTTAAGAGTCAGTAATTACTGTATAATTAGTTTTATTGTATGTTAAGATCAAGGCTATTGAATTAATAACTTAATTCCTAACTTTAGAACAGCTAACTTGGATGCTATGAGAGAGTAACTATCTCAGGTAAATTAGAGCAGGATGCTTATCTGACGTAGGACACCTTGAAAGCCAAATTGTTATACATACAAAGCAAGTATCTTCAGATGGTGAAGTAAGAGAACAAATGGCAAAACTAAGCCCCAGATTTCAGGAAAAAGCATCATACATTTAGAAAATTGAGCCAGAGTGGAATCCTATAAAAGTATTAAAGAACTGATTAAAAATGACATTAGAAACAGTTGGTGGGAAATGTTCATACTAACAATACAGATTTTTCAGTTAAAAGGAAACAGTGTTACAATTGAAGTTTCAGTTGATAATTATGAGATAACTAGTCGCCCAAATACTTTTCCTCATTAGTTTTTACCAGGGAAGAGTTGGTTACACAAAGAGATCTTTCTCTAAAATGTTATATAACATCCTTGAATGAAATTAAGGTTGAGCTCTAACTGATAAGATTGGAAAATTGAATGAAGATATGGCACCTAAACCATTAATTTTGATTTTTAATGAATTCATTAAAAATAGTTGCCTTCAAATTGGATATTAACCAATATCACAATGATTTTTAAAGTTGAAGTATTAATAGTCAGATAAACTTACTTCAATAGTTGAAAAATAACTAGAGTTTATCTATAATTAAAGAAATTATCCAAGAGCATCTAAACAAGTTTTATATTATCACAGAGAGTGAACTTAAGAATTTGCTAACTATATTTGAAAATGTTACATTTAATCTGTTATTAATAATGCAGTGGATTTGTGGGACTTTTAGAAGGCTTTTGATAAAGTGTCATGAAAGAGGTTGCAGCTGTTGGAACTTGTTAAAAAGTAGTTTGGTGGTGTATGACAAAAGATTGTTATGAATGAGATTAAATCACAACAGATTATTGTTATAAGTGGTATATCTCATGATTCAGTGCTGGTTCTGATTTTGTTGATGAAGTAAAAATTGATTGAATTTATAGATATTCGTGTATATTTCCCACTTTGATGGTGATGCTATAGTTTTGTAGCTATATTTGGTGAGCTGGACTATGATGAGCTTTTTACTAACAGTAAGGATTACTGGTTATCATAAGTAACTCTAGGAGAATTTGATCAGAAAAATTATCTGAGTATAACTGTTATAAATTCTCTAAAGTCTCCTAGACAATGTACATTAGTTAGTGATACAGGATTTTAGGTTATATACATAGTTATAGAGTACAACTCTAAGGAAGTTATCTGCTTACTCTATGAGGTACTTGTTAAACTCCACTTGGGATGTTATTTTCACTTTTTTTTTATTTAAAAAAGGACATTGTTTTATTGGAGAATACTCGGAGAACTACTGGGATGATTCCAGGTCTGGAGAGGTGTATCATATTGAGATAGGCTTAAATCTCTTGACATGTTTCTACCAGGATGATTCCAGGTTTGGAGAGGTGTATCATATTGGATAGGTTTAAATCTCTGGACATGTTTTTACTAGGATGATATCAGGTCTGGAGAGGTGTATTGTATTGTAATAGGTTTAAATCTCTGGACACGTTTTTACTAGGATGATATCAGGTCTGGAGAGGTGTATTGTATTATAATAGGTTTAAATCTCTTGTCATGTTTCTACTGGGATGATTCCAGGTCTGGAGGGGTGTATTGTAATAGGTTTAAATCTTTTGACATGTTTCTACTGGAGAATGGGGGGACACGATTGGAGGTTTTAGGATTGTTACAAGCGAGGATTCCTTATAATCCAGATGAAATTTAAAAAACATATTTGCAGATAGTGAGACTAGAGGTGTAAACGTTAGTGATTGTTGTAGATACCATTGATGGTATTGTACCTGACATACCTATGTAAACATTAATGATTGTTATAGATACCATTGATGGTATTGTACCTGGCATACCTATGTAAACATTAATGATTGTTATAGATACCATTGATGGTATTGTACCTGACATACCTATATAAACATTAGTGATTGTTATAGATAACATTGATGGTATTGTACCTGACATACCTGTGTAAACGTTAATGATTGTTATAGATACCATTGATGGTATTGTATCTGACATACCTATGTAAACGTTAGTGATTGTTATAGATACCATTGATGGTATTGTACTTGGGATACCTATGTAAACGTTAGTGATTGTTATAGATACCATTGATGGTATTGTATTTCAGGTACAATACCATCAATGTTATCTATAACAATCACTAACGTTTACACAGGTATGTCAGGTACAATACCATCAATGGTATCTATAACAATCACTAATGTTTACATAGGTATGTCAGATACAATACCATCAATGTTATCTATAACAATCACTAATGTTTACATAGGTATTTCAGGTACAATACCATCAATGGTATCTATAACAATCACTAACATTTACATAGGTATCCCAAGTACCTATGTAAACATTAGTGATTGTTATAGATACCATACAATACCATCAATGGTATCTATAACAATCACTAATGTTTACATAGGTATGTCAGGTACAATACCATCAATCTATAACAATCACTAATGTTTACATAGGTATGCAGGTACAATACCATCAATGGTATCTATAACAATCACTGATGTTTACATAGGTATGTCAGGTACAATACCATCAGTGGTATCTATAACAATCACTAATGTTTACATAGGTATGTCAGGTACAATACCATCAATGGTAGTTATAACAATCACTGATGTTTACATAGGTATGCCAGGTACAATACCATCAATTTTTATCTATAACAATCACTAATGTTTACATAGGTATGTCAGGTACAATACCATCAATGGTATCTATAACAATCACTAATGTTTACATAGGTATGTCAGAATACCATTTATGGTATTGTACCTGACATACCTATATAAACATTAGTGATTGTTATAGATACCATTGATGGTATTGTACCTGACATACCTGTGTAAACGTTAATGATTGTTATAGATACCATTGATGGTATTGTACCTGGCATACCTATGTAAACATTAGTGATTGTTATAGATACCATTTATGGTATTGTACCTGGCATACCTATGTAAACATTAGTGATTGTTATAGAAACCATTTATGGTATTGTACCTGGCATACCTATGTAAACATTAGTGATTGTTATAGATACCATTGATGGTATTGTACCTGACATACCTATGTAAACATTAGTGATTGTTATAGATATTATTGATGGTATTATACCTGACATACCTATGTAAACATTAGTGATTGTTATAGATACCATTTATGGTATTGTACCTACCATACCTATGTAAACATTAGTGATTGTTATAGATACCATTTATGGTATTGTACCTGGCATACCTATGTAAACATTAGTGATTGTTATAGATACCATTGATGGTATTGTATCTGACATACCTATGTAAAAATTAGTGATTGTTATAGATACCATTGATGGTATTGTACCTGACCTACCTATGTAAAGATTAGTGATTGTTATAGATACTACTGCTGGTATTGTATCTGACATACCTATGTAAACGTTAGTGATCGTTATAGATACCATTGATGGTATTGTACCTGACATACCTATGTAAACGTTAGTGATTGTTATAGATACCAATGATGAAACCTAGGGTATCGTACCTGACACAAATAAAACTGTGCAATATTAACTGATTTTTTAAACTATCTAATTTTGCTGCAGTATATTATATAATCCTAGAAGCAGGTATCTTGCTTGTTATTTTTAACTATATAGATAAGAAAGTTATTATTCTTTTGGTAAGTAAAGTTTCTAGAATGTTGAAGAGTCTTGGTAGAAGTTATATTTCAACAATAAATTTAATCCTGTAGAATGTTGCCATTGAAAACTTTTGGGCTAAGCAGCCATGTGTTATTACGTTCTTCCGTCGTTTTGGATGACCTTTCTGCCGCCTGGGTGCCCGTGAACTGAGTAGTATTAAGCCTCAGTTGGATGCCCATAATGTGCGGCTAGTTGGAATAGGCCTAGAAGATGTTGGAGTCCAAGAATTTGTGGAAGGGAATTATTTTACAGCAGGTGAGGAAGGTTTGCTGATAAGTAAACTAATGTTTCAATTTCAGGAAACAACTCATTTCTTTACTACATAGAAATTTTTAAAAAGCAGAATGTAATATAACGTAAGCACAAAGTAACAAGTGAAAAACATAAAAAACTTTATGTAATATTAATTCATTTTGATATATTAGAAATTCTTCGAATTTCCTTTTTAACACTGAGAAACATGTGTATGGAAATGTAAAAGAAACATAACTTGATGCATAGCTTCTCTGATTCACAGAACTTTACATAGATAGTCAGAAAAAAGCATACCAGGCTTTAGGATTTAAAAGGTAAGGAATGGATTTTTCACACTTTAACTTTCACTAACTTAATCACATGAGAGAGAATTTTTTAGTCTTCCGTCTGTGTATTTTTTCATTACTGTTATATCAGTTTTATTTTTACTTTACCAAGAGGATTTTTACTTTATTTATTTATTTATCAAGTTGTTCATCTGTATGTCTTATAGCTGTGTTAGGTTTATTTTTTTCATAAGTATTATTACTTTGACCTAGATGTGAAAAGTCTCTATGGTTATCAATAATGTTTTGTTTTTTTAGGCTTAGCTTCTTCAACCTCTTGTCAGCAATGTTTGGTAAAAAGTCACGTGATGCTATGGGAAAGGTAAGTAATTAGGTTTAGGAAAAAAACAAGATTTACCTTTTCACTTTTGTGATACTGTGGAATAAATTGGAATAACCCGAGTTACTGATGATTTTTTTTATCAGTTATTTGCAGTCTTTTCTAGTTCACAGTATTTCATGGTTGTTTTGTCAAGTCTTGTGATTTTTTGTTTTTGTAGTAACTGTTTCACTTAGGGAAGCTTCCACATTAGCAGTGTGATGATGTTGCTTTGTATATTGGGTAGAATTTGTCATGTTCTAAAAGTTGTTCAGTAATTAGGCTTGTGAAGTCATGTGATTGTCATGGTAATTTTGTTTCTGTGTTGTTTTTCATAGGTTAAAGAACAAGGCTTAGGTGGTGACACGAAAGGAGATGGGTATCAGAATGGTGGAACATTAGTTGTCAGTCAAGGTAAGATTTTTAAACTAAATCAAAGAATAAAGAAGTTATTCACATGATGTCAGAGGTGAAGGATGAGTTACACTTTTGTGAAAATATTGACCATTATTACTTTCACTTCATTGAACAAGAGGAAAAATTGCTCTGTGTGCTCTAAAAACTTGTCTCCTATTAACATGAGGCTTTAAAAAGGAGAGAAATCAGAGTAAATAAAATTTTAATCCTTTTTTATTATCATTTATTGTCATTATTAAACAGTATTTATAGATGAAATTTTGGTACCATTATTGAACTTCCACTAATTAGTAACTTATTATTTTCTGACGTTTTTGGTAACCTGAGCTGTTAATTTTGTATATTTTAATGCTGTGTCAAATTCTTTAGCAGTTACCAGCATATTATGTACTGTTCATAGTATCTTATTTTGGTATCATATGGACAACGTTTTATCCAGAACGGCTTTCTTTTGTTTTAATCTTGTTGTAATAGGAGGTGAAGATGTGTTATTATGTTACAAGCAAGATGCTCCATCAGAGAATGTGGATCCTGAAGAGATCATCAAAGCTCTTTGCATTCCTCAAAATCCCCCTCAAGAAGTGGAGACAGGAGCCATGTCTGCTGAAAGTGATAAAAGTGAAAAATTTACTGCTTAGCTTAACCATTATTTTGGGCGTAATACAAAATCATAATATTCCAATTTATATATTTTTAAAAGATTTAGATATTTTTTATAAATATTACAAATATCATGATTTTATTAATGTGTTTGTGATGTAAAAAATCATTTGATGTTTATTGCTTCTGAAAATAATCAAACTGTAACGGATGAAGCTACATTGTAAAAACAAAGCAGCAGTGTAGCGGATGAAATTTAATAGTTTGATATGGAAAAAATTATATTAATAATCCTGTAAATTGAGTTTTTTTTTTTTCAAGAAAAAGGAATGTGAGATATTTTTTTGTTGTGTAATATAGTCTCTATAATATGAATAAAAATCTCTAGAACATCACTAATTGAAGCCTTCTTGTTATGTTGAACAAATAATTCATCTTAATCTCTTACACCCCCAGAAATCTTGAAATTAAACTTCTAATGTGCAGTTTACTTTTGAGAAGCCCCCTCCCCAGTGGAAGTCCGAAGACTTACAATGCTAGAAACTGGGTTTCAATACCTGTGGTGGGCACAGCACACATAGTCCATTGTGTAGCTTTATACTTAACAACAAACAAACAAATACTTTTGAGAAAGATGCTGGTATTTTGTATGTCTTAAAAAATGCAGAGAATGTAACTTGTAATATTTTGGAGAGGTTTGTATAAAACTTTCCAGTAATTGAATGTTCATACTTCATTACATAGGATCATAATGCCAGAATAACTTTTGATAGTGGAGGGTTGTGTCAATGTAACTTTGGATAGTTGTGTGGGGGTTATGCCAGGGTAATTTTGGATAGTTGTGCTAAGGTAACTTTGGATAGTGTGTGGGAGTTGTGCCAGGGTAACTTTGGATAGTTGTGTGGGGTTGTGCCAGGGTAACTTTGGATAGTTGTGTGGGGGTTATGCCAGGGTAAATTTGGATAGTTGTGTGGGGGTTATGCCAGAGTAACTTTGGATAGTTGTGTGGGAGTTGTGCCAGGGTAACTTTGGATAGTTGTGTGGGGGTTATGCCAGGGTAATTTTGGATAGTTGTGCTAAGGTAACTTTGGATAGTGTGTGGGGGTTATGCCAGGGTAATTTTGGATAGTTGTGCCAGGGTAACTTTGGATAGTTGTGTGGGGGTTATGCCAGGGTAACTTTGGTTGTTATGAATATAAAAAGAGAGTTGGTCACAAAGCCCATTTGGCCCATCAAAGAAAGAACTCATCTGAACTTAAATGCAGTGTTAAGTATATTATGTTAAATTAATTTTTAACATTCAAATCACATGACATCCACAGCTGATGTAAATATGCATGGAACAGAATGTATCAGAATAACTTTTTAACATTGTTTGGTGCCGTATAGGTAGCATGATGCCACCAAAAATTGATCATTTTAGGAAAGGGTGTGTAATAACCTTTTCTGGCTCAAATCAGATCATAAAGATGTGTTTAAGTTGAGGAATTATGAATTACAGGGTGAAGATATCCCTTGTACTTAATGGAAAACAAAAGAATGTGGATCAACTTTGGGAACTAGGACCATGTAGAAAGAGAATTCAAGTTGTGGTCAGTAAAGTAACGTGAGAATACATGAACACAAAGGTAACAGTACACAACATAATCAGAAAGGATCTTTAACTGGAAAGTAGGGTATGGGTTCATTAAGATAAGTCTGCCAGGCATACCTCACATATCCCAAGTATTTATGCTATTCCATATGAAGACATACTGGGCTAGTTGCCAGATACAGCAATTTTGAATTACTGTGCATTCATACTGGTGAAACAACCCATTGGGGAGAACCATTGTCCTTGCTGGAGGCATGGCCGGGTGGTTAGGTAGCTTGACTTGCAATCTGCGGGTTCGAATCCCCATCCCACCAAACATGCTCGCCCTTTCAGTCATGGGGGCACTGTAATGTGACGGTCAATCCCACTGTTTGTTGGTAAAAGAGTAGCCCAAGAGTTGGCGGTGGGTGGTGATGACTAGCTGCCTTTCCTCTAGTCTTACACTGCTAAGTTAAGGATGGCTAGTGCAGATAGCCCTCGTGTAGCTTTGCAAGAAATTCAAACCAAACTAATATCTACCACTCCAACAAATCTTCGAAGGACAGTTATTTAAAATCTTAATTTTAAACACCTGACTCAAGTGTTTTCTAGTTCTTATAAGCTCCAGAGAAAATCTTTGAATCTTTCTTCTTAACTAGCATGTTTGGAACCTAGAAGCATTTTGGTAGCTTCTCTTTGAATTTTTTTTTTCAAGCAAATATTTTTATGCAATAAAAGTATCAAAACTAAACACAGCACTCCAGATGAGTCGTTATCAAATGTACAATGTGATGATAGTCTCCCTATTCTTTAACTCATGATTATAGAATTACTCTCGTTATTAATACCCCCCCCAAAAAAAAAAACACATCCAACACAAAAAGTATTTCCAAATTTCTATTCTATAAATGTATCACTTTTATGGTTGTTGAAAAACTTTAACAGCATTCTGGGGCCAGATTTAAAGTGTGTGTGTGTGTGGGGGGG